GGAATGTAACCAGTCAGTTACAAAGAACATGAACAGAGGCTGGGTAATCAAGTGTGATGTGCAATCACAGCTGAGGTAAGTGCACAGAACATCTTCCAAGGGACCAGATATAAGAAAACATAAAAGGCAGCAGCCATTGACTTCAGGGCCATTTTGATGTCTTTCTGCCACTGTGATCTTCCTGTTCTGCTAGCCTCCTGTTTCTGCAGTGGCTTGTCCTGGTTGCAGAATGTATCTCTTCTTGCTCTTGCTCTTCTCTTTTCCTTTCTTTATTTTTAGTAAAAGTTAGGTTTATCTGTTCATTTGTTGTCCCAGCCACTCTTTTGGAGCAACAGAAAGAACCTGGAACCACTGGACCACAGTATCATCCACCAACAAAATTAGAACATTGAGCAAATATAATTGATTTTATTAGGGAATTAAGATTTTTAGAGAATGATAATGGTACAGAGATTGTGTTCAGAAAAATCCTTGTCTTTTTTAGGAGTATTTATTAAACTACAGAAAATGTCTTCGATTTGCTTAAAATATTAGGATTGAGGAGGCAGTGGGGAGGAACGTGTGTGAAATACAATTGCTGAGTTGAAGCTGTGTAGAATATGGGACTTCATATACTTTCTCACATTATATAAGCTTGAAATTCACTTGAAATCCACCAGAGAATTCCATTATTAACATTTTGATAAGGGCGGGGGATTTAGCTCAGCGGTTTCGCTGCCTGCTGCTCAAGCGCAAGGACCAGAGTTCGATCCCCGGTACCAACAAAACAAAAAAACATTTTGATAAATGTTACTTCTGTGTACAATATGCCCCTGTGAAGTTGAGGTTCAGAGGTCATGGCCTCAGTTGGTCATGGATTTTTCCTTAGACCCTAACTAATAATATTTTGTTTGTTTGTTTTGAGACAGGGTCTCGCTTTGTAGTCCAGGCTGGCCCTGCCTGAACTTACTTTGTAGCCTAGGCTGGCCTCGAACTCGTGTTGATCCTTCTGCCTCAGCCTCCCAAGTGCTGGGATTACAGGTGTGCACCACCATGCCTGGCTCTTCTAACTAATAACTCATGCAACTTCATGGAAATTGCAAATATCCTCTGAAATTGGTTTTTGGCAGGAGGTTTGAAAGGCTTTGCTTTAGTTGCCAGGCATGTCAGAATTCAATTTGTGGCAACCCTCTGGCAAGTACACAGGAACTTTTGGAATGAATTTTTGGGAGTATTAATATTAATATCTCTGGGTTTATTTTGTTTTCTAATTATTTTTTGTCTGGGCCTTCTCCTTCAGTCATTTTCTGCTATTATAGTGTATATCTTTTTCTAAGCACATTCAATCTTTTGTGAGAGATGTGGGACATGAGTGAGTAATACAAATCCATAAAACATATAATTTTTTGTTCAGTTGGATTTTTGAGATAGGGTCTCTCTCTGTAGTCCAGGTTGGCCTCCAAATCCTGGTGATTCTCCTGCCTCAGCTGGAGTGCTGGGATTACTGGTGTGCACCTCCACACCTGGCTAAAAACATCTTTTAAAAAATAGTTTGTAAAATTTGTTAAAGCTGCTTATTTCCTTTCATTTCTTGCTTCATGGAGAGTCTATATCTACTTCAAGGCAGGGTACATTTCCCCAGCTTCCTACCCCACTTATAACCTTATCCACATCTTTAATATTTTATTTTCTCTATAAGGTATATTTATTATGTAGAATACAGATAAACAAAAAGCAGTGCAGTTAAAAAACTGGCACCATATGGTAGAAACCAGTTTACTCACTGCTTTTGTAACCCATTTTTTCTCAATACATTTCACAAATATTTCCCTATCATTAGTTTTCTATATAATCATTTTAAAGGTTCAAAGTATCCCACTGATCGTGTACTAGGGTAGTCAATAAGACTGCACCTCTACATTCCCTTCCTAGAAAAATTGAGGATACTCTTTTTTTTAAACTTGTACATAATATATCATTCTTGTTTTTCCCCATTCCTCTGCCCTCCCTTTAGCCCTCTTCTCCTCATTTACCAAAGCTTTGTTTCCATTTTTTCCTTCTATTCTTTTTTTTCCCTTTTCCCTCCAACCCCCACCTTGTTCCCTTTCCCATTTGAGCATTTTCTTCCTACTTCCCAATATCTGTCATCCATTTTGGTCCTTATTTACCCTTTGGGTTTCTCACACAAGAGAAATAATGCAATATTTATTTATTAATTTTTTTCTTTTGGTACTGGGGATCAAACTTGTGTCCTTGCGCTTGTGAGGCAGGCGGTGGAACCACTGAGCTAAATCTCCAGCCCATACAATGGAATATTTAAACATGTGTGTGAGTGTGTGTGTGTGCATGTGTGATTTATTTCACTTAAAATTAGAGTCTCAGAGTGTATCCAATTGGGCGAGGGATTTAGCTCAGTGGTTCTGGTGCCTGCCATGCAAGGTCCGGAGTTCAATCCTGGGTATCCAAACAAAACAAAACAAAAAAAAGTGCATCCAATTACCTAAAAATGTCCCAAATTTATCATTCTTTATGGCAGAATAGTACTTTATGGTATATAAAAAACACATTTTCTTTATCCACTCATCTGTTGAAGGGCATCTGGGCTGTTTCTTTCTTTTTTAATAGTGAAACATTTATTGGTACATTTTAGGCATACATAATGACAACACCATCATAGAGAACTTGCACCTGTACACAACACAACCCACCTCTTTTTTCCACCCCCCCCAAGCACCCTACCCTCCCTGTGCACAAAAGCTTTGTTTCCCTTCTATTCTTTTTTTCTTGTCACTTCCTTCCTTTCCCCCCTCCCTATCCCTTGTTCCCCATTCCACTTGAATATTTTCTTTCCATTTCCCAATATCTATTATACATTTTAGTCCTTATTTCTGCTTTTGATTTCTCACACCAGAGAAACAATGTGATATTTAAACATGTGTGTCCAATTTATTTCACTTAAGAGTATGGTTCAAGGGGCATCCATTTAGCTATAAATGTCTCAAGATCATCCTTCTTTATGGTTGAGTAGTACTCCATTGTGTAAAAAACCTCACATCTTCTTTATTCATTTGTCAGTTGATGGGCATTTGGTCTGTTTCCAAAATTTAGGTATTATAAATTGTGTTGCTATAAACATGGTTGTACATATATTTCTGTAGTATGATCCTTTTAATTCTTTTGGGAAGACACCAAGAAAGGGAATAGCTTGGTCAGATGGAATCTCTAGTTTTAGTTTTTTGAGGAATCTCCACACTAATTTCCATGGTGGTTGCACCAGTCTACACTCCCACCAACAGTGGAGAAGGCTTGCTTTTTCCTCACAGCCCCACTAGCATTTGTTATTGGTTGAATTCTTGATAATCGCCATTCTTTCTGGAGGAGATGGAATCTCAGCATTGTTTTAATTTGCATTTTTCAAATGATCAGTGATGTTGAACATTTTCTCATATATTTATTTGCTGTTTCTACTTTTTCATCTGAGAAGTGTCTATTCATTTCAGATGCCCATTTTTGGATTGGGTCTTTATGGGCTGTTTCTAAGATTAACTATTACAAATTGTGCTGCTATAAACAATGAGCATTTCATGCATAAAATTCACCTGTTGCTGCTTTGGAGCTCCTATACACACCTTACTGTTCATCTGCCAAATGGGTGAATACACAGATGAGTTCCTGTTTTCCCCAGACACAGCTACTGTGAGCCACATCTAATTTTCCATTATGGAAAATTAGATGTTTGCAGAAGAGAAGAATGGTATGGGTGTATTTTACCCCCCATGATGCTCAGAAATATATATACAAAAAAGTTACAGGGAGCATTATATGAGTAAAAATCTCAATTTGACACTTTTCACAGGTGTAGACACCTTGCCTTGGGTCATATTTTTTTATTGGGGACTGAACTCAGGACCTTCCGCTTTTGAGGCAGGCATGGTGCCACTGAGCTAAATCCCTGGCCCCCCAATTTTTTTTTTTGGTACCATGGATCGAACTCAGGACTTTGCACTTTCAAGGCAGGCAGCGGAACCACTGAGCTAAATTCCCCACCGGTAGTATTGTTGTAGCAAATTGAATCCAGGAAAGGAAGACACCCAGGGAGGCGGGAGGCAGTGTACAACTCTTGTCAATGGACCTGACTGGGATTGTTCCCAAAGACGTCAGGCTCAGGATATTGGCGGGCCAGCAGTTTTATAGGGTTGCAAGCAGGAGGTACAGAACCAGAAGCAGAGTATTTGGCAGTCTTTGGTTGGTTAGTTGTTTGACATTTTTTACATATGAGGCTTAATTCCATTGGCATTTCCCTGGGAATATAGCAAACAGTGTTTACACAAAGCGGGGGTGGGTGGTGGGGCAGAGAAAAGAGCTCTAGAGTAGGACTTTCTGAGTTGGTTATGCTCCTGTGGTGATAAATTACAGAAGTTGTCATGGCTACTCTTGTACATTCTACAAACAGCATAGTTACCTAGTTAACCCATGGTTGCTTAATAACATAGTTAACTCATAGTTGTCTAATTTAGTTATTTTTTGTTAGACATATATCCATCTGCCTAAAAATTCCCTTTCAGTATCAAATGGGTGAAGGCAAAGATTGCTTTCTGGGGGCCGGAAATTTAGCTCAGTGGTTTCACTGCTTGCCTCACAAGTGCAAGGACCAGAGTTCGATCCCCGGTACCAAAAAAAAAAAGTACTGCTTGTATCCCTTAGGTGCAGCTACTGACATGCACAGCTGGCTACCATTATCCTAATGTCATTAGAAAAGTATGGAATGGGATATGGTAACCCACAATAATTCCCCAAGTATTTAATGGGCTATATCGACTTTGACATCCTCTTTCCTGGTTCTATCTTCAATCTAAGGTAATTTATGGACCTGGTCTATGGATCCCATCTCCTCCTGTTCCTTTAGGTAATCAGTCAGTTATCCTCTTTTTTGGCAGTATCTTTAATCTCTTCCTCACTACTGCCCTGCAAGACAGCATTACTGGTGATGTGAGCAGTAAAAGAATTTACCAAGACTAGAATAAAAATAAAGGCAAGAGTTTACTTAGATCAGAAAACAATGTCAAGAGGGATGGTGGGTAAGTTCCCAAGGGAGGAATTGCTCTGTCACGGGGAGAAGCTGGCGTCTTTATATTGAGGAAATAGGAAAGGGTCTGAGTCAGCAAATGTAGATGTCTCAGAAATGCATTTTCCAGGGCATCTTCTTCCTTGTTAATCTTTCAGGAACACCTGCATCATATCTAAAGTTGTACATTAAAGGTGCAACTTGACAAGATCATTTATTTCTTCCTCACAGTGCATTATCTTATGACTGCTTAGTACTCGCTGGGCAGGATTGCTTTAATGAGGAATTTTGCTGCTGAGGGTTTTAATTCTTTTGTTGACAATGAATAACCACCGCAAGTATCAACTTTTTTTCTGTTGTATTAATAAACAGTAGGTCACTCTTCCATAAAGAAATCTTCCAATTTCTTCACTTGCCATTCTCTTCAGGCACTGACCTTTCTCTTTTCCTTTACAGCCACACTTCTTAAAGGATTGTCTTGACATGTTGCATCCAAACTCACTGCAAATAGATTTACATTAAGGCCTCAATGCCTTCTTGTTGCCAAGATATTAGTATCATAATTATGTCATCATATATATATATATGTGAAGGTCGTTCATATATGAAAAAGGTTTTCTCTAAATCAACTTGACTATGTAAACAATATCTATGCAGAGAAAAAAACTGATAGGTGACACATGAAAAATTTACGTTATTCCTGAGTAGCTTTTCTTTTTAAAAAATTTCCACGATTAAAAAAGATTAATTTACTTTAACATTAGAACACATTAACTCAAAAACTCTCAACTTACATTTTCTAAAAGGAGCTAGAAAACTAGAGAAGCAACAGTGAGGAGCCAGAGGGCTGCACTTCCTTTCTCAAGACCCAGAAACAACGGAGCGAGACCCAGATTCCTGGATCCACTGTTCCGGCTATGGAGCACTCCTGGAAAACTTCCGGATACGACGCTCTTCTTTTAGAAAGGCCTCTACGGGTCGGAGATTTAGCTCCGTGGCACCGCGCCTGCCTGGCAAGCTCAAATTCCCGAGTTCGATCCCTGGTACCAAAAAAAAAGAATAAAGAAAAAAAAAATACAAGTGTGAGAATCACTGTTATAAATACTTGTCTTCTTCTGGTTTTGGGGTGGCATATAACTATAACTATAACTATATATAGATATAGATACAGATATAGATATAGATATAGATATATATCCCCCAACAAAGAATGG